GGAGTAAAGTAGCTCAGGAAAAATAAAAATGTGTGGAAACCCAGTCAGGAAATCTAGGAATTGGGTAACTGGGTCAAAAATTTATTTCAAAAAGTTAAATACCACTCTGTCTAACTTGATCAAGTAATTTACATCATAGCTGGGAGGAATGGGAGGAGAAGAATATCACCAACACTCTGAAGAATTCAGAAAACATCTGAAGATTGGACTGTAAATAGAAATCAGCTAATGAAAGTTATAACATATAAGAAAAGGAAGGATTTCTGTCAACATTCCTATCAACTGCTTTCTACCCCCTTTTTTTTTTAATTTCTCCAATCTTCAAGGGAAATTTTTAAACAACATTCAGGTCCAGAACTTAATTTACCCAGATGCAGTAGCCTTGCTTTTCTCACTCCAATACGCAAAAAAGACACAAAAATATTGGGCTTGTTTCTGCCTCCTCCCTGGTGTCTTCAAATATATTTCCTTAAAAATATATACATGTATCTCAAATATCCAGAAATATGTCACATTATTTAACTTGGGAGATAATCCAATGGTCTGCGGAGGATGGCATACAAAACAGACTAAAGATGACAGTCTTTAAGTGAGACCCTCCTTATTCCTGCTGAATGGCCTTCATTGGGGAATGCTTTTCCTGATGGCTGGTGGCATGTGGAAAGAAGAAAGCCAGAGGAGAAAAGAGAAAGACAAGAGGTTAGAGTTTTCCACAAAGAAAATGGTGTAAATTTTGTGGGGACTAACAGATCTGCAGGAGCACAGTTTGTGATATTACTTGCAACATCTATAAAATATGGCTTGCAAACGAGGACAGTGTGATAACAATAACTTTGTTCTTATCAACTGATAAATATTTAGACTGGAAAAATATATACTTTTCAGTTAAGAAACACAGATAATTATTCTGAACAGTAAACCGCATTCTACTGTTACTTATTTTTGGGGTACAGCAGTACAGTACAGTACTCTGTAATTATACATATCTGAACTGCAGATATACTAATACATTGTTTTAGCAATTATAGCTGTAGCTGTTCTGAAAATATTAGGATTTTTTTTATTTTGTTGATTCTGATGAATCTCAAGAGCATAATAATCTGAATAATTAACACTTGATGAATATTAAGAAAAGCAAGTCTATTTTTACTGGTATACAGCCTTTATAAATCTAGGGCCAGTCTACCTTCTTCCTTCAAAATATATTGTGTATTTAGTTCTGAGAAAGTTTTTCTGTATTCAGAGGCTTTATTCTAAATAATGCAGGAGCTAAATTTGAAAAAGATGGGATTTGTACTAATGGTGTAGTCTAAAGACTAAAACTTGAATTTTAATAATCCCTACTACAAAACCTCCATTCCCATGCTGCACCCAGTCTTACAAATTCCTGTAAATGAACAAGAGAGTATGAATCCAGCATATAATATCACTGAAGAAGAAATACCATATTGCAAGTTGCAAAAGATTTCCCCGCCTTATAAAATTAAACTAGATAGATGAGCGAGAGAGAGGGAGGGAGGGAGGTGAATGATTGGGAGAATGTTGTTGATGGGGGTGGAGTCAATTTGGAGGATGTAAGTCAGGATATTACTTTGTGGTCTACTGTGGCTTGAGGGTACGTTTTTGAAGAACTGAATAAGGGATAATAGCAGTAAATTGATTCTCAGACCATGGCATACTGAAGTGGACTGTTGGAGTGATTAAGAACAGGAGAAGACTGGACAAAATGGGAGAAGGAGCAGCAAGTTTTGGGACAAATGAACTGGTTGGAAGGTAGGAAAATCTGGATGCTGGAAGACACTAGATTGTTCTTTGAAGAGGGGATGAAGGAAAATAAAATGAGGCCTCCAGAAATGAAAGACTTAGTGGTGGATGACAGGATTCACCACTGGACAAGACATGGAAGGTGTGCTGGATAAGCAGAACATGAAGACTGGTTGATGTCTTGGTGAGTGCAATTCCTGAGCAAACAGGGATTCTTTCATTGTCTTCTTTGTAAAAAAAAGCCCTGGGGAGTAAATTATTCCAAAAAACTATCTGTATAACTGTGAATTCCTATATATCATCATTTCTAAAAAAAATAGAGCTTGTTAAATTGAATAGTGTTAGGGTTAAGATTAATGAGTATTAAGGAATTAATGAGTATTAAGAAAAGTATTAAGTCTAAGACCATCCAGAGAATTTTATGGCCAAGCAAGAGGAAAATCCAAGTTTCTCTTGGCCAGTGAATTGCACTGGTTCTTGCTGACATTTCTCAGAATTAGTCTTTTATAAAGAATCAGATTTTTTTTTATTAAAATTGCATTTCCAACCATCTTGTGGCAAAATGTATTATGCTAAATGGATTACATTCTGATAAAACAATGTTAGCATTGCCAAGAAATGATCCACACATCTGTAATAGCTATATAGCAATCCCTAAAATCTGTTGTTGGAGCCAATGTTACATTTTCCTTTAATTTGCCACAAATTACTTGAGTTGAGGACATTTAGTAATAAAGAAATACATATTAAGAACTAAAGCTACATCAGTATAAGAGGGAGTCACTTGCAGAGTGCATAGTTCAATTCTAGATCAAAATGACTGAATTCTAGAATCTGAGACTTTTGCTTTTCAAGTCTGTCAAAAGAAGGGCTACTGGATAGTCCAAGAATATACATGCAATCAAGTTCCACCTATACATATTTAGTCCAGAAAGAGTTATGTAAATAAGTCAATTTGTATCCTGCCAATTACCTATAAAACAGACATTGGGGTGGTTTAAAATGCAAGAGCCACAGCTGAACTTTCTCCCCATTACAGTTTTCATTCCAAACTACATTATTTTATTAATTTTTTCTCCCCCATGAGATTTACATAAGTCTACTGGAGGCATGAAAAAGACTGGAAAAACAATATTTTCCATGGAAAAATATAGGAAATAGAACAGGATTTCACTTCTCCTCCAATCTGTCCATCATATCTACTTTGACCCTGTGCTTACAATTGTGCGTAGGACTGAGTTTATTAGCCTGATCCAGTTAAATAAAATCCTCTGTTGCTGGGATTTATTCTCAAGTTAATGTTAACTGGATTGTGGCCTAAGCAGGTAAAAGACTAGTAAGGGAGAAACTCTTGTTTATTCAGTCACAGTCTCATAAAAGAAAATATTTATCTCTGGGAAAATATTAGTAAGAGCCAAACCAGATGTTATACACAGATAGACAGCAGTCTTCCAACCTTTTTTATGAAAAGCAACCACAGGGCTCTACAAGTATGAGTAAAGGAGCAATAACTGCTTAACCCCATTCCCTCCAGGTGCCTGTTGTTCTGTTAAAAATTGCACACCCATTCACTTTTCCATCCTTAGAAAAAAATGTATTCATGATTTCCCTATGCAAACAGAAAAATGGCTCATATGTAGATCTGAGTTAGGAAATTAAATACATGAAAAAGTTAAATACATGAAAAAGGTTAAATAAAGAGTGTTTGGTGGCCAACACTCACGCCTATCCTCCAGGGTTGTTTGGGTGTTTAAAAACCTGGTGCATTATGACTGTTATGGATTCTGACCTATGATGCTCTATGAGCCACAGAGAATTCAAGTGAACATAATATAAAACTAAGCTGGGGGTGCAATCTTATACGTACTTTCCAGCAGGTAAGGCCCAGAGAACACAGCTGGACTTCTCAGTAGACATGTATTTATTTATTTAGCTTATTCTTCCATTAAAAGTAATCCTAAAACAGACTACAGCATTACAAAATAAATCACCATAGGAAGAACAAGAGTAAAACACTATAAAACACACTGGCATTTAAAAAAAAAAATAAAAAAAACCCACCCTGGATCTTGAATTGGGCTAAAAGTTACATTTATAGGTATATATATATAAATTATATAGTACTAATATACTCTTATTTATTTGGATTTGTTAAGGCAGCCAACTCCACTATGGTTATACAAGAAGTCCAATACACGTATTTAAAAACCCAACTAAAAACCACATCTGCCTGGACCAAAACAAAGTTCCCCAACATGCAAGAAAAACTCAACAGGGGCTCCTAATAATATATAACATAGTTTATATTGTGCATGTGTAAAATGGGAAGATAAAATCTATTCTATTGACTACTAGTATTGCTTTCAAGAAGACCAAACCAAACAAATATTGTTTCCTTCATACTCTATTGGATCAACAGCCAGACATCTGCCTAGCAGGTAACTTTTCAAAAGGCTGGAACAGGAACTGACTCTTCCATTCTCACCTAACAACACCCAATTCTCTCTTTCCCAGCTGTGATGTCTCCTTCTCTGTCCTTTCACTATTATCTCCTCTCTAACTTGCTGTCTTCTTCCCATGTAACAAGCTTTTTCATACACATGTCCTCCACCTGTCTGCTTCTCCCTCCCATGACCCAAACCAGACCCATTCAGCATTCCCGAGCCTTCCTGCATCCCCAACTATCTAATTTTCTTCTTTCTAGTATGTCATGGCCACAACTATTATTGATATCTTGGAAAACAGAAGTGTAAATTCTCCTAGGCACTGGAAAGTCGTTGGTTTTTTTTCTCATCTAAGTATGCATTTTAAAACTCTTTTTATCTTATCGCCCCTAGGAAACAGGGATTTCATGGCCCAGTCCAAACCCCCCCCCCTTCAGCAAAGGAGTAAGAAGCTAAATTAAGTTTTATAAAAAAAGTTATCATAGTAACAGTATTTTCTACGATTCCAAGAGAACAAGCGACGGAGAGAGGGGGATACCGGGTACATACAAATCTAACTCAGTCCCCGGCATCACGCGGAGTGGGAATCGGATTTGGAAAAAAAATAAATGGCAGTCTGCTTTCGCTATCTTAGGTACTCTCCAGATGCGTTGGGCTCCAATATCCCCAACCACACATGGATGCTGCAGTCCAGCGCATTGCGAGGGTTAGCGAAGACCACCGTAATTAGCAGCAAAAGTTGAGAGAGATGCGCGCCTCCCTCGCCCCGTCACCTTCCCGAGCGAAGCTCACCCTGACCGCAGGCGCCCCGCTGGATGGCGATGACGGGCGGCTGATGCTGGACTTTGGAGCGCCGGCTAGCAGCCCGCAGCTGACACAGGTTGCCGTAGCTCCTTCCGTCGCTGCCACACACCGGGTCCTTACTGGCACACTCGCAGCGGCCGGCTTTGGCCCGCCTGCGCACGGTGGCCGAAGCGGCCACTCCGGGTCCCCCGGTCGACAGCACACACAGCAGCCCTTCGGCACACGACGGCTCCCCGGATGGCGACCCCCCGCAAGACTCGCCCTCCTGCGCGGCACAAGCAGGGCAGCAGCCGCAGAAGTCGAGCGCCTCCCCGCTTCCTGCGCACTCGGCGGGCACCTCTGGGCACTGCGCGCGGTCGCAGCGGTCGGGGCAAGCCCGCTCTTCGTAACGTCGCCCGAAGAACTGAGCCGAGCTGCCCGGGAGCAGGAGCAAGAAGAGGCACGGCCACCAGCCGCTCAGCGCCGAAGGCCATAGAAGGGCTTTCATTGCTCCCTCGGAAGAAGGCGCGGGAAGCCCGGCGAGCGAAACACGCGCAGCGGCCTGGGACGACGGCGCCGCCGAAGTGGGGAGGGAGGGTCCTCGCGCGCAGGGAGAGGCGGGAGTTGGACGCGCTGCCTGGCAAAAGCGCAGAAAGCAACTGCGAGGAGGGAAGCGCTGCTTTAAAAGGAGCCAGGGCTGCCAGAGGGATTGTTGCACGCCTGCAAAAAACGCCGCCGACTTGCGGAGCCGCCTGGGAGGGGACTTGGCGCCGTTATACAAGCCCCGGAGAAGGGAAGGAAACCTGCTGCCGCGCCAAGTGGGAGTGCAGACTGCTGCAAGATCACGGAGCGGGTTTTTTTTTT